CCTGACGTCACACAATAGGGAACCCCTTCCCCAACCCTTCCATTGTTATATGACAATGACATTGTTATATGACAATAACATTGTTATTGACACCACCCCCCGTCTGGCGGCATCCCTTTGGACGCCAGACGGGGGGGGGGAATCTCTCTGATAGGTTTAAGGAAGATCCTCAGCTTAAATCCAATGGTAATGAATGAGAGACTGTGTTATTACGTTCTCATTCGTTCGCGAGCACTTATCAGTGCCATGAAGTTGGACCTTCCTGCGATCGACACGCTCCACTCGAGATTGCTCGTCGTGACGTGTAATCTTCACGCAGAGAGACGTGGGAGCGGTACCATTTCTCTGAACGCTTAGCATTCCTCCCCACGCGTACGATCGGCTTTTCATGTTTTGAAGCCATGAGTCAGCCTCGAAGCTGAAATACAAAGACAGGCAATCGATTCGCATTTGAGAATGGTAAATGCAAGGAATGTCCTCGTTCCACCGTGACGTGGCAAGGAAAATCAATCAGCACCAACTTCAACTCAAACAGAGGAAGAAGAAATTAATACATATACAGGGTGGCGCAAAAAAAAAAACCTTTCCACTTTTAAAATGGTCTAAACAAGATCTATTGAAGCTTACCCTTACATACGCTTACACTTACAGCTTACATTTACCCTGTTTCCAAAAGTTTCTTTGCTCATTTTTTGGGTGAAACAATTGGACTAAAAGTAGGACAGGTTAAGATAGTGATGATAAAGGCTTTCAGTGAACCGTTTACTGTCGCACTGCTGGTTCCCCCCTCCATCCTTCTTCCTGCATTTCATGCCTGCAATGAACATGCGTGAGACAACGAGGCTGACGAGTCGCGTTAGGCATGCAACTTGCACCGAGGAACATTCATGGTGCTAATTTTTCGTTATCTGTTTCCACAATTTTTTCCCCTCCCGACAGGTTCAAAAAGATGGGCTTGAGTGAGAGTGATGAAATCCTCATTAAGGCGCTTCGTGAGGAAAAGCAGTATTCTTTGAATCAAAATTCTCCGTGAATTTCCTGAGCGGCAGTGGAAAAAATCAACAGTCATAGACTTTCTGAAATAACTCCGAGAAACTGGAAGTGAAAAGCGTCGTCCCGGCAGTGGTCGTCCAAAATCAGTGAGAACTGATGAAAACATAGAAAAAGTTGGTGAACTGATCTTGCGTCAGGACGGAAACCTACCAAGGTCGTTTTCACTTGCTCTCCACAGTTTTCTTTGTCCTAAAAGAGCAGCTAGACAAGTCGCGTATTAGTTTGTGCTGGACCCCGAGTTTCACAAGTTTGCACAAGGTCAAGTCCTCAACAGTGCTGCTGTCAGGCAAAAACGAGTGGCTCAGTGTAAAAAACTTTTAAACCGATTCGGAAGTATCAGAAGTGTGAGAAAATTTCGTTTTCAGATGAGAAACGATTCACGGTCAAAACCCCTCGAAATTCTCAGGATGACCGTGTTCACGCTGCAGGTCAGAAAAAAAAAGTTGAACCCAGCAAACTTTTACGAGAAAGGATTCATTTCTCTGAATCGGTCATGGTTTCCCTTGGGGCTTCGTCTGTGAGGAAAACATCGGTTTATATCATTCAAAGGGTCGTAAAAATCGATGCCAAAAGTTATTGTGAGAACGTTTTGATGCCAATGCTCCCGGAAATTGAGGACAAAACCCCTAATTACGTGTTTATGCAATATGGTGCCCCAGCTCACACTGCAAATGAAACTGTGACCTTTTTCATTGAAAACTGCCCTGATTTTATCGAGAAAGAAAACTGGCCTCCTAACAGCCCTGATCTCAACCCCATCGATTACTTCGTTTTGTCTGCATTGGAGCTCTTTCACATGGTACCCCACTTTTAAGCTCTGCACCGAGTAGACGTCCTTGCTTAGTGACGACGAACCCTTCTCGACGGGGTCCTAACCTACAGGTTCCGTTAAAACTACACCTCTCTCTCTGACGTAGCAGTGGTGGACCAGAAAGGAGGACACATTGAACATTTCTTGAATAAATAAAGGTTAGTTAAGGTGGAACAATCATTTTCCCATCATTTTACTACTGTTTTTGAGGGTATGATTTTTTCAATTGGCCATGACAGCCATTCCATGGCACCCATGGACATAAAACCATACATTTTTGGAAAGGGCTTGGATTGAACTTTCATTTGCTTTTTTTAACCTGCTAGCTTCAATAGTTCCTGTTCTAGAACAGTTCAAAAAGTGGACCGGTATTTTTGCGCCACCTTGTATATATTTATTATATTACCCTCTCCGTCGAGACAGTTGCCTCAGGGTAGGTCTAACTCGAGTTCTCCAGGCGCCACGAGGTATGAGAGGCTTCAGATATCCTAATTGGTTTGAACCATAGTCGCACTCTGGTCAGACTAAAGCCTGACAGGGAAGGAGAGTCAACACAGACTCTTGCAACTTCCGTCTGAATAGGATTCAAATGGCACATTTCGACTATTCTCGGACGAAAAACCCGACTGTAACTATAACTGAACTGTAACTGAACTGCCCTTTTCAAACCAACTTAAGCGTTCGCACTTGAAAGTTTTTCATTTTTAGCTCCTTTTTCCCGATTTCCGGCGGAAAGGATACCGGTGCAAACTGAACAGAGTAGTGCTTACGAGCAATATACACTCAATGTCCACAAAATTAGAGACACCCCTACATCCAACTTTCCATGCAGCTACAGCATAACCTAATCTAGGTTGGGTAGGTTAGGTTGTTACCTAAAGCAGGCAGCCCTGCTTTAGTGTGTGTGTTTTGACTGCAGAATGGGCAAATCAACAGACCCCAGCGACTTAAGAACGTGAACGGTCATTGGTGCCAGACTAGCTGGTTTGAGTATCGCGGAAACCGTCAAACTGCTAGGCTTTTCACGTGCTACAGTTTCTCTGGTATACCGTGAATGATGTGATGAGCGAAAAACAAAGGCTGCAAGGGCATCCTGTGAACGGCAGAGCCTCGTTGATGCTCGAGGTCAGAGAAGGTTGTCACGTATCGTTTTGGCCGACAGGCGGGCAACAGTACGCCGAATCACCGCAAAATTCAACGCTGGTGTCCCGAAAAGCATATCCGTGCAAACAACCCGTCGCACCTTAGCGCGGATGGGCCACAACAGTAGAAGACCAGTTCGGGTGCCAATGTTGTCGGACAAGAACAGAAAAGCGAGACTTCTCTGGGCAAATGAGCATCGTCACTGGACCATTGCTGAGTGGAAAAAGGTTGCGTGGTCAGATGAATCCCGGTTCCAGTTGCATTTCGCCGATGGGAGGATGCGATTCTGGCGAAGGAAACATGAATCCATGGACCCCTCGTGTTTGGTGTCAACACTACAGGCTGGTGGCGGCTCTGTGATGGTGTAGGGTGTGTTCTGTTGGCAAACCCTAGGTCACCTCATACTCCTGGAAGGTCGTCAGGACAGTACGGCATACCTGAACATCGTTGCCGATCGGGTCCATCCCTTTATGACCACTGTTTTACTTTTAGCAGATGGATACTTTCAGCAGGACGATGCACCGTTCCACGAGGGCCGTATCGTCTTGGATTGGTTCGAGGAACATACCCAGGAGTTTACCTTGCTCCAGTGGCCCGCACAGTCCCCTGATCTCAATCCAATAGAACATCTTTGTGATGAGTTGGAACGGGCTG